GACATGTTGCAAGTTTCTGCTGGCGCACGCTAGTAACGTGAACACAACAGCAAGAAATGCCAACAACTAAGTGTGACGCTCATTGCCTTCTGCATTTTCTTCCAAGGATACGATATCTCGGCGTTTGGCTCATGGCGGGTATAGAATAGCGTAAGGGGTCTGAGGCGTTCCAGGATACATTTTCGATGGGTGGTATATCTTGGGAAGTAGTGCATACCGTGTAACCAAGGAAGCAGGCTCCTACCATTCCTCTTAGGTAGGCGAATATCAAGTCTTATCTCATAGTCGTTTGCATTGCGACATGCGGCTTTGATGGCACACTCTGTACTTTGCAGATCTGCAGTTCTCCAAGGCGATGAACCAAGGAATCTCGAAGGGCATCTCTCTCACCACGAAAACACACGTGATTCGGCGCTAGTCTCAACGTTGCAGTCTCACTGCTTCTACACTTCAGTCAGCCCAGCGTTCAACCTGACGTCCCGATTGGAGACTGCGGCCTATCCAGGCAGCAGAGCGCCTCGCGAACCACTACATGCCTGGCTGCCTTGCCGTCTCACACGTCGAATCGCTCTTTATGCGAGTCTAAAACAACTGCACAATCATCTGCCAATCAGTTAACATGAGGCCGGAGTCATCGATTCCAGGCGGGGTATGCTCGCCCTACTTCAGCACCAATGACACGGTTGAGAAGCGTGGTACTTCGGGGTAATTGACGCTCAGCTTGCTGCTGTACCGATGTTACTTGAGCCGCATTAGGCCGCAAGGCATTGTAGGTCATCAGTGGCCTCCGAATATTCCTCCTTATCTAGGCTTCCTGTCCCCTTCGTTCTCCCATTGTTCTTTTCCTTCCAAGCTTGTTCAGTTCCTGCTTCAAAAAGTATTGCGCAAGATGATCGGCCGAGGTGATAGGGTAAGGTTCTACTCAACCACGCGTAACATCTATCGCTAACATGAGAAAGACCATCGACGACGAGACCGGCTCCACGGTTAGCTACGAGGAGGTCGCTTTCCGACGCGTCTCACCTCCTGGCGACGAAAAGGCTCTAGTCACCCAGCAGAAGCCAGCACCCAAGCCGACCCCTGACGTGTTGTACGTGTTGCAACATGTCAGCCTTGGCGGCAAGGTCATAGAAAGTATGTAACACTCTGATGTTATTCTGCGAACCTCGCTGACCCAACTGTCAAGGCCGGGAGAGCGACGTCCCGTTCAAGGAGATCCCAGACTATGGGGCGAGAGACGGCGAGAGCACGGCCAAGCGAGACGTTGAACCAGTCCTCGAGATCGTAACCAAAATCTCGGCCTATACCGGCGGGAGCAGGACTGTTCATTATCGCCGCATGCCCCCTCCGCGCCCGCCTCCCGTTTTTGACGATGATGATGATTATGTGTCGTATGACTCCGACAGTAGTGATGACGATGTCCCGGGGAAATTGACGGTAGAGCGCACCCGCATGGTGATTCACTCTCCGCACCTCATCAATGCTCTAAGGGCGACCGTGGCCTACTACCCCAACATCAACCTCCTCGGAGACACTGTCAAAATAGACGCGCCGTACCGCGCCGTCGTCCACCATCGTGATGCTCTGACAAAATACAAGTTCCACCAGCCGGCTCACCACTCTTCCGAGTACGCGCGCACCACGGCTGAGCACATTGACGTTCTCCTTAACTTCATCGAACAGACCGTCGGTGAATCCATCCGCAAGGAGGAAGAACGTTACGCTCGCAGCACCCCCGTTGCGACGTTTGAGAACTACTGGATGGCGCTCAAGCCGGGCGAGATCGTCTACGTGAACAACGAGGACGTCTGGCAGCCCCTCATCGTCAGCAGTCTGAGCCAGGAGACGACCTCGTCTGGACATAGACGCCAGTGGATGGTGGCCTGCTGGCTGCTCGAGATGGGCAACAGCAAGATGGTCCGCAAGATGGTGCAGTACAAGCTGCCCTCGTGGCCCGGCGAGCAGGTCATCCACTCCCTGGATGTAATGCCGGCTCGCTTCTACCCCGACGCGCCCGAGAAGATGCTCGACAAGCAGATCAAGTTGGGTAAGCTGTACTGGGAGCTCCTCCAGCGACCGACGTACATGGAATATGACGGCTTGTTGGTACAGTCCGGAAGCTCGCGTGCTGGGCCTGCCTTCAGCGAGCCATCAGGCTACGTAAGTTGCTCCCTACTGCCCCCAATCAATGGAATCAGTGACTAACATCTCCTCAGATGACTGGACGAGTTATTTGCGATGCTGAGGGCTTCAACAGGTTCGCCATGCACTCTCCAGAGAACCGCAACCACCGCTCGCGGAGACCTGCCGGCCTCCCTGCTGGTCAGGGCCCTCCACCAGAGCAAGACCATCTCCCTCACTTCCTCCCACGGTGTGGCTGCAAGGCGTGTGCAGACTCCAAAGATGAAGAGGAGCCAGGAACCTACTCAGTCTTCGACAACGTCTACCCCACCAAGTCCGCCGCTCCAACCAGCGACCTCTTCTACATCGCTTGCATCAAGGTCATCCCCGCCTTCCTCCTCGGCGAGCGCCACTGGGGCCACTTGAACCTCGAGCACCTCAAGCCCGTCGTCACCGACCGCGAGGCCTTCAAGTATCTCGTCCTCGACGACGAGATCAAGTTGACAGTCAAGGCTCTCATCGGCAAGTTCGCCACCACCGACTCGGGCAGAGTCTCCCCCTGGGGCAACGACTTCGTCAAGAACAAGGGCGAGGGCCGCATCTTCCTCCTCCACGGTGCCCCCGGCGTCGGCAAGACCTGCACCGCCGAGTGCGTCGCGGAGCTCACCAACCGGCCCCTCATCTCGCTCACCTCGGGCGACCTGAGCGTGAACTCGCACTCCGTGGAAAACAACCTCTCCTACTTCCTCGAGCTCGGCCAGCGCTTCGGCGCGCTCGTGCTGCTCGACGAGGCCGACGTCTACCTCGAGCGCCGCCGCGCCAAGGACATTGCCCGCAACGGTCTCGTCTCCGTCTTCCTGCGCGCGCTCGAGTACTACCGCGGCGTGCTCTTCCTGACGACGAACCGCGTCCAGGCCTTTGACGCGGCCTTTACGTCGCGGATTCATGTCGCGCTGCACTACAAGAACCTGACGGACCTCGACCGCGAGCGCATCTGGGCCAACAACTTTGAGAGACTCGATCGAGACTCGAGCGGGCGTGTCCGTGTTGCGGCCGCGGCGAGGGACTATGCGTGGGAGTCGCGGGATGTGAGGCTCTTGAGGTGGAATGGCAGGGAGATTAGGAACGCGCTCCAGACTGCGCTCGCCCTTGCTGAGAGCGATGCTGCCGAAGGTGGAAGTGAGCGGATCACCGTCACTGACAAGCATCTTCGGGCCGTTGTGAAGATGAGTCGCGGATTCAGGGACTATCTCCGGAGTGGAAATGTCTACGACGGCGAGAGCGAGCTTGACGCCGAAGAGGAGGATGAGGATATTTACTCTGACTAGTCGCCTTGTGATAGGTGGTCTGTAGGATGATACTCTTTTTAACCTGGGTTTTCATGTCGGCAGCTGGGTTACGATGTATGAACAGATTGATGACTTTCTTTTGTTGGTATGGGGAGGTTTGGCACCGAGGACTTTGACGGTCTGCCTCGTGTGTGAGACTCAATAACACACACACTCATTTATCAAGTCTTCACAGCTAGAAATTAGCCGTATGGCCATTTTGAATGGCTTGCTCACCCGCAACTGGTGAAAACTATTGTGAAAACGTGATGGAATACACAAGATGGCATCTCCTAGTAGCTAAATTTCTGCGAAGACTGGTTTCATCCCGGTATATAAAAGTCAGGAAGAATTTTCTTTCCTGAGCATGTGCCTAAAAATATACCGTCCCCAACGGTTGTCGCCCTGTCGACCACCTGGAGCCCACTCGTCCAGGTCATACTCGTTCCTCCCAACCTCCTCAAACCCAACCTTTGCGTACACACCATAACTTGAAGGCGAGGCATGGATCCAGCATGCGAGACCCTCCAAGTCAATTACCTCAAGTCTCGCCTGAACCAGCTTGGTCGCAATCCCCCGTCGCTGATAAGCCGGATCCGTGGCAAGACCCTGCAGCACCGCGTACCTCTTTCCCTTCATGTACCTCTCCTCGATGGCCACTCTCTCCCTATACATAAGACCGCCCAGAGCCCGAGCCGGATCTTCCTTTGGCGGTTCCTCTTTCTTCTCCACGGCTGATGTCTCGACTCCCTCCGCCTTATCCACGCTGCTGCCGCCCTTTGACTCTGCCTTGGCAACAGCTACCCTGTCTCTGCCAGTCGCATCTTTCACTATCCAACAAGCCCACCCCAAAACCCGACCGCTTGAGTCGATCGCTTTCATAAGACTGGCCTCTGGAGCAGTGACCCAGCCCTCGATGGTTTTGCGCATGAGCTTCTCGTGGGCGTCGACGGCGCGGCCGAGGAGCATCAGGTTCGAGAACTGGTCCGTCTTGAAGGCGGCGGTGTGCACTCTGACGAGGTCATCGACATCGTCGGGTACGACATAGTGAAGGGTGAAGTCGACGCTGCTGGCTTGAGCGTTCATCTTGATGCCTTGACGTGAAGGGAATTGATGCCTCTGGGAGGAAGGTAGGTGTGTGAGATGGAGGGATGAGAAGCAGAGTAGAGGACTGCCTGTAGAAGAATGGTTGGTGGTTCAAAGGGACTTTTGACGCTGATAATCGGGAAGATATGAGAGCGGGGACAAATCCAAGCTAACGCATTCAGGATGGTGGTCAATGGATATGTAGCTGTGCCTCTTGAATTCAATGCTGCCTGGTTTGGTTCCATCATCATCACAGCTCTCAGTCATGTCCACGCATACGACAAGTTACCTAATGAGATCTTATTAACAAACAATTATTTCGCTCATGAATCAAGAGCACCACTAATCAATCCTAAGTCATGTATTGTACAACATAGAAAAATAAAGCAGAGATTCATAACCAGACCACACTATACACACACTCACACACTCTCCCACCTACTCATAAACCACACCACACAGCCCTCAGTAGAACAAATACGTCAGCCCCAGCGCCAATATCGGCAGACTCGTGATAAAATGCGCCTTGGCCTTGGCCCTGCCCACCTCGATCTCCTTCCTCGAGCTCTCGGTCTTGACGCTCTTGACATACTCCCAAATCACAAACGCGCCGCTGAGGCCGACGCCCGTACCCAGCGTGAGCACGATGCCCACGCACCGGTGCACCGCCTCCCTTGCGGCCGGCGACGCGCGGCACGCCTCGGAGAACTGGGCGTAGAGCAGCAGCCCCAGGATGCTCGCCGACATGTGCAGGTTGCGCGCGCCCTTGACCTTGATGAGGGCGTGGTGGAAGGCGTCGAACTGCGCCGGCGAGACGGACGCGCGGGAGGGCGGGATGAGGCCGAAGTTGCCGGCGCCGGTCTCGGGCTGCGTGAGGTTCAGGAGGCCGTCGCCGGCGCCGAGGAGCGCGAGGAGCCCCGTGAAGATGGGCAGCGCGGCGGGTTTCCAGAAGGTGTGGAACGGACTCGTGGGGCTGATGGACGTCATGGTTTCTTTTGTTTAGTTTGTTTAATGAGAGTAGTTGTTTCAGTCGCCGCGAGCTTTGTGTGTTGTAATGTAAGATGGGAGGATCCGGATGTGAGATGCCGGTGAAGCGTGGTGCGTGACTCGTTTGCAGCGAGTGGTGATGATGAACGGAGGGTGGCTCGGGTATTGTTGTTGATTTTGTGTGTTGTTGCCTGGACGTTGGATTAAGCCGCTTTCTGAGACGACGACCCGAAGCCAATCACGTGGAGGATATAAACAGGAGGCTCGAGGCTAGTTCAAGCCACGCTGACGTTCTCCCGTCTTAGACATGGATCGCTAGCGAGACGCCTTTGAACTATCTTCCTCCTACGTGGAATGGGCACTAAGAGATACACGTGATTTAGCTCGTTCACTGTTGTTGCGTCTACCTCAGCACATGTGAGCTCGCGAACTTGACAGGATTGTAGATTTATATTGCGCCCCTTTTGTATATTAGAGGCTATCAAACGATTGGATGCTTGTTTAAAATATCGCCCGACAGAAAATCCCCTAGCTGTGCGGGAATATCGATGGAAAGTCATACAACAGCGTCAGGAAAGTCGTGCGCTTCAATTGCTTGACAATAGCGTGAATGTTGAGAAACCAAAGTCTCTTGTGTCTTCGCATTTCAATCAAGGACTTGTTCTATAAGCCCGGCTTTTGTGCCACTTTTGTACTAATCAAACGAAAAATAGAGATGCTCCAACACAATACAACGAAACAAAACACTCCCAGCGAGCATCGCGTTTCCGGCGATCTCCAAGCCTGGGCTTTCTCGTAATCGATACTATCCAATCCGCTGCAAGGAAACTCTAACCAAAAATGATATTCTTCAACTTCTCCTTCTCACCACTCTCCTCGCACATCCCACGGAACACACCGCCCTCCTTGTCCCAAAGCTCCTTCGGTGAGCCGAACTCGGCGACCGAGCCGTCGCTGAGCACCAAGATGCGGTCAAAGTCAGCAATCGTGCTAAGACGGTGGGCAATGACGATAAGCGTTGAGTCGTTGAACTCCTCGCGAATGGATCGTTGAATGAGCGCATCAGTGTTCATGTCGACAGCAGAGGTGGCCTCATCGAGGACCATGACCTTGGGACGAGAGACGATGGCGCGAGCAAGGCAGAGGAGTTGACGCTGGCCCTGGGAAAGGTTGCCGCCACCTTCGGATATGGCCGAGTTGAGGTTGCGGAAGACGTTGACGTTCTTGGCTCCGTTTAGCGAGGGCGTGGCGCTGCTGGAGGGCTCGCCAGGGGTGGAGGGTGACGAGTCGACAAGGTGCACGCGCTGAAGAGAGTCGCGCAGTTCAACATCGGTCTGGTTATCGAATGGATCCAGGTTGGACCGGACGGTGCCGGAGAAAAGAACGGGGTCCTGAATTTTGTTAGTCTCTGTGTCTTAGAAGAGTCAAGTCTATCTTACCTGAGGAATGATGGCCAATCGGGATCGAAGGTCGTGAAGCCTGATCTTGGAAATGTCCACGCCATCGACATGAATGCTTCCGGATTTGGCCTCCAAGAAACGGAACAGCGCCAAGGTCAAGGACGACTTTCCAGCTCCGGTACGACCAACTACGCCAATTCTCTCGTTTTGCTTGACGCTGAAGGTAAGACCCTTCAACACGGGTGACAAGTCCTCCGCGTAGCTCACGACAAGATCCTTGACCTCCACGCGACCCTCAGTTGGCCAGGTCGCAGGGGGCTCGACACCGCCTTGGTCTTCGGTCTTGAGGTCGGAGTACTCAACCACACGCTCGGCTGCGTTCATGTCGAGCTCAATGTTGGCGTAGTGTCGAATGGACCATACGATAGCCTGAGAGAACTCCAACGCGAAGGAGAGAGTGAAACCGGCGAGCGAGGCACTCATGTACGGGCTGCCAAGAACAACAAGACCGACAGCAGTGGAGAAGAGAGCGCCGATGAGAGACATGCGCCAGCCCATCCATCGGTTGAACAGCCACAAGTACCACGATGCCATCCCGTAGTCATCCAGCCTCGTGTACATGGCGTCAACGTAAGTCTGCGCCTTGTCAGCTCCACGAATAGTCATCATACCAGTCAGAGTGGAACCGAAAAGATCAAAGATGGGGGACTTGACGGTACTCTCAAGTCGCTTCGCGGGTCTGGCGCCGGCCAGATAGCGCCTGCCGATCCAAATGGCAATGGACAGAAGCACAACAGCCAAGGGAATGATCATGGGAGAGACCGAGAACGCCGTAATGCAAATTCCAATGACGCTGAGAATGGCACCGAAAACACCAGAAAGATCCATGCCGAGTCTGTTGTCAATGACGTTAAAGTCGGCAGTGAAACGGTTGAGAATGCGGCCGGTGGGGACGGTATCGAGCCATCGCAGCGGTGTGCGGAGAACAGTCCTAGTGATACCCTTGAACATGCTCTGACTGGCCTTGTAGCTCATACAGAAGAAGTAGAAGAAGCGACCGGTTCCCAGGATGGCAGAGAAGGCGGAAATTCCGACGTAGATACCCAGGTAGAAGTAGAAATCGTCATTCTCGGATTGGATGCGGGCGAATCCTGAAGGCGCAGCGTGCGGGGCATGGAGGGAACTGTCTTGGAGGGTGTAGGCATAAGCATGCTGGTGCACAGTCGCAAGTGTGTTGAGGCTTTGCTCTTCGTAGTGACCGGTCCAAAGACGCAACCACCAGGAACGGGCGATGACGACGCCCTGGTAGAGAGCAAAGAGGAAGAAACCAAAGCCCCACCAAGGCCAGCCGCCACTCTGGCTAAGATAGGCGGCGTAGACATGCTTCTTGATGGCACCCTGCTCGCGAGCTTCGTCTTCGACAAATTGCCGGGTAGCCTTTGAGGGGATCTTCTTAAGGACTCCGCCATCGCCGTTGAGTTCAGCAACCTCGGGCGCATCGACGTCAGATGCGTCCTCCGAGTTGACGGCCGTGGCAGCTTCCTCATCAGCGATCTCCTGGGCAGACTGCTCGTGACTCTTGATCAACTGCAGCGTTCCATCTTCATCCAGATCAGACTTGAAGCCAGAGTGTTGAACGGTTCCGTCTCCAAGCTCAACGATGAACTTGGTCTTTGGCTCGACAAGAGCGACATGGTGTGTGACAAGAATACGAGTGCGTCCCTTGCAGAGCTCGCCGGTCAAACATTTCTCGTAGATGTGGCGACCGACGTGGGCGTCAACCGCGCTGAAGATATCGTCCAAAACAAGAATGCCGGCGCGGGAGTAGATGGCTCTAGCCAGGGTAAGTCGCCACTTCTGACCACCACTGAGGTTGATGCCGTTCGCTCCCAATTCGGTCTTATCTCCATCCGAAAGCATTTCCAGATCCTTCCTCAGGGCGCATGCATCAATAGTCTTGTTGTACCGTTCCTCGTCCAAGGGAAGCCCGAAGAGAATATTCTTCTTCAGGGTGGCATTCTCAATCCAGGGGATCTGACCAACAAAAGAGATGCTCTCAGGGATGATCCAGTTGTCGCGGTTGGCCTTGTCGTCGTGGCGCTCTTTCAGGGAAGGGGGCTTGGGTGCGTAAATTGCGCCAGACAGAAGATCAGATTCGCCCAACAGAGCCGCCAGGATCAAACTCTTTCCGGTACCCGTCTTGCCAGAAATGACAGACAGCTCCCCGGCAGGGAAAGTAACGTCGACGTTTCGCAGGATGAAGCGATCCTCGTCCTTGGTCTCCTCATCAACCGGCCATGCGATTGAAGCGTTCTCAAAGGCAACATCGGGACCATTAGTGACGGTCTGGGTCTTTTCGGGTCCGTTGAGGTAGTCCTGCATTCGCTTGATGGAAACATTCGCATCGATGACATCCGTTATAAGCTCGGGAATGACAGCCAAGGTAACCTCGAGATTCTTGAAGACACCAATACTGACAAAGGCGACCGAGGGAATAAGGTTGCCGTTGATCAAGGCGTAGACTGCGAGTGAGACGGCGGCCAAGGCGATGGGGCTGGTGATCCACATGCCAAAGAGCACAGTGTCACCCTTGAACACTTGCCAGATAGCACCGAGCTCCTTCTCACGCATATCGAGGATTCGCTTTTCCCACTGAGGTTCCAGCGCGGAGAACTTGATTTGCCGCATGCCGACGAGCGCCTCGTTGACAACAGCGAGCTTCTGGTCTCTGATCTTCATCAGCTTGTCTTGCGCCCTCGAATAAATCTTGGCGTAAGTAAAGTTGATGGGGAGGAGAACAGCCCAGGCCAAAAGACCGGCGCCCAGAGGTCCCCATCCAAGCAAGTAAACGAGGAACCAAATGGCAACCGCCAGCTTCGCCGTACTACTGGGGAAGAGGAATTGGAAGGCAGCAAAGTCGGAAACGCGCTTGGCATCGACACCGATCAAATTGATAATGGCCTGGCGGGACTTGAGAACGCTGTCATCTTCGGCATCCTCGTCGTCGTCCTTCTTGTCCTTCTTGTCATCACCATTGGCCTCGCCGTCCTTGGACTCTTCGTCGGTCTTGGAGGCTGCCTTCACGTTCTTGCGGCGCATGGACTTCTCAAAAATAAGGGCCGAGAGGGCGCCACGGAGAGGAATGCACAATTCCGCCCAGGAGAGCCAAAACATACAGGCTTCAACCCAGGCATCAGCAAGAATGGCCAATCCGAGCCAAAAGACCAAGATCCAGACGTCCGCGGAGAGCGGCTCGCCCGGGCGCCTCTTCTCCAAGGCAGTAAGAATCTGCAGGGTAACGAACGAAGGAGCCATGCTCAAAAATGACTTAGACAGAGCAATGGTCCATTGAACGGCCAGAGGCACGCGGTACGCCCAAATGATGGACCACCAAAGATTCCCGCCCTCCTTGAAGTTGTACCCTTTCCATGTCTTAGCCGAGTCGCCAGAACGCGTCCAGTGGTCCGGCTTGGGAAGATCGTCGACTTCGAGGTCGCCCTTTTTGGTGGCGTCGTCGAGCAAGCCATTGCACCAGCCCCAAGTGTAGCGGCTGTATGCGCTAACGGTAGCCAGGCGATCAACTACTTTGCCGTCGAAGAA